CGCCAGACAACACAGCTGTCCAACCCTGACGACCTCTACTTCAGGACGTGCCCCCCCCCCCCCCTCCCCCCCCTTCCCGCGACTTCCAAAATTGCGGATAGAACAGTAACAACAACTCTCCGCGGCAACACAAACCGAAAAGGCAGCATACTCACTCACACGCACTCACGAAACGCCCGTTATCGCTGCTGTCTAACAAAAACTACTCGTTGCCCCGGTCTCTAAACCTCCAGCATTTCGGAACAAGCGCGGAAAAAATTCTTCCTCCAGTCTTGTAGCCGACGGGAATGGAGAAAAATTGAAATAAAATCTGCCTCACTCTCGGAGCAGCCGTCTAATTAGTTGAGTGCGCGAGGCGACCAAGTCGCTCGTGCTCTATCGCGCCGTAAGAGGGTGTGGGTGATGGTGTCATCTCTCGTCGTTGCTCCAAGCGGCCATTTCCTGCCAAATCATGTTGAACACCAGTCCCTTCGGGAGGCAGCGCGCAGCAGCACAGCGCGGGATGGAAAAATCCAGTCAGATCTCGCTCAATCATTAGTTATCAATCATAAATATACTCCTATAGACTTTGCCAGTGCCAGGATTGGCAATTAGTCATGTCCATGGACTACATTCCAACGAGGAGCTGATGGTAGGCTTGACTGATCACACACAAAAGTCCTTTAATTATCCGTAGAAACCGACGAGAGAGTGACACACGAGAGCCCAACATATAGGATCTTAAATATCATAAAATACATATCTAAGCAACATGTGACTACCATTGACCAGTCCACAACCCTCGCAAGCCCACACATCCTACGTCTGCAAAAGAAGAAAAAACAAGCGTCCTCACCTGCAACGAGGACGCCGCCACCCTTCCTCCCAGCCCCCTCCCAAACACCCCCAGCACCCCCCGCGTGCCCCCCCCGTCCTTCTTGATGATCTGCTTGATCGACTTCGCGTACGACAGTCCATCCGGCCGGTCGTGCGATTGTCTGGGGGCACCGTGTGTGTCACCATCATTGCAACGGGGGGGGGGTACATGAGCAACGCGAACGACGAAGGCGCCCGTGAAGAGCTTCCGAGTTCAAAACCGATGCTGAGGGTACGTTTAGGGTGTGCCAAATAACTGTTTGGTTCTCAGTCAAAATAATAATAATCCCACACGCGCAAAATACATGCGGCAGTTCATGCCACGCTTCCGTGAGAGCTCGAATTGAACGGTTGTCGCCCATGATTTCTTGTCACCTTGGGCATCACAATTAACATACATCACCCTTCCTCATCCCGGTCGACTCAGATACCACGTGCGCTTACAACGAAATACCACAACGGTCTAAGGGGATGTGTTGAGAGTCTTCGCAGTGAGGGGGGGGGGGGACTGCTCGATAATGGGCATATCTTGAGTCTGTTGAAGTCAGAAAAGAGAACTTGTATATTCATTCGACCGACAATTACCATGCACATCAATGTGCATGTGTTTCGCTTCGCTCGTTTTCTTCACTAGCTTTGGCCGCGCCAACCGGCTGATCAATGACAAAGTTTGTGCGAGTGTTTCTCATTTTTCAGTTCTGGGTGACGCAATGCCCGAGACCGACCAAAAGCCCTCACCTGTAAACCTTGAGGACGCGAAAAGCGTTCGACGCCGCCGCCGAGACTATCGATGCCGCTGCACCAATGAAGGCGCTCCGAGCTCTCCGGCTCCTCCCCTCGCCTTTCCTTGTTCTTGGAAGGCTCTGCTCCAACAAGTTGTACGTCAAGTACCTGTTTCCAAGAAATAAAGACAGGAAGAAACGCGGACAACAACTAATCGGTTGAGCGGTGCGCCAGAGCAAGCATCGATAGCTTGGGTAGGTTCGAAACCAGGAAAACAAACAAAAGCATGCTAAATCTTCCGTCGCGTATAGAATGCAGCAGTGGCCGGTCCCGGTGTCATGAGAAGCACAGCATCACGAGGTCTAGAAAACATCTGATACTTTCAAATACAGTTTGGCTTAATCGCTGGTTTCCATGTCGGGTACTCGTCCACCCGGGCAAATAAACCTCAAATTAACGCAACACGGGCCTACCTCCACAGTAAGCCTGCCATCCAGGCACCGCCAGAACTGTGCCGCTGTCCAGAAAAATGTAAGATGTATATTCTAACATGCATATTTTAGTATAAAGCGAACTCTCCTGGGAAAAGAGATAGGATCGCCAAGAAACAAAAAAAGAGAAGGCGCACCAAAAAAAGGACCACACATCTTGGCCCCAACTTTTGTCAGTGTCTCTCGGTATGAAATAGTCTGTACTCGACGGCGGGGAGACGATGTGCCGAACGGGGTGCTCGAGACGACATTCCTCATATCTCAGGTGCGGAACGTTCGTCCCGTGCTCGGCGCTCATAGTCTTCACGAAAGGAAAAAACAAGGAGAAAAAAAAAGGCTCACCAAGGGTAGTGCCCCATCAGCGACCCCCCCGCGAACGCCAGCGCCCCGTCGTAGACCGCGACCGGGCCGCGCGTCGCTATTCGCTTCTTCATCACGGCCAGACCCTCCTTTCCGTCCACCTGCATGATTACCTGGAGAAGGGAGGAGGAAGAACGACTCATTTTACGCGTGACTTTGGTCGAAAAAATTCTAGGAGTTAACATGCGGAAGAAGCGAAAAAAACCCGTCAAGCCACAGGTTCATTTAGCGTGACAAGTCATAAGGAAGACCATTCGAAGATTCTCATTTCGCAGATAACCTGGCGGAAAGCTGAGGAACCGCTCACGACACTTGCGGTTCGTATCTCGAATTAACAGTCGCCACCCCCTTGGCACGCTTCACTGTCAGTCAGTTGAGAACTTCAGGCTAAAACGAAGGGGTCCAAACACGATAACGGGCATAGGACCACAAACCCAACACCAGCGCATACAGCTTCCTTGCCGCTGTCCCCCCAAGGGGAGACGGCAACGAGCGATACTTCGGGGAAAACAACGGGGTGGGGGAAGCTCCTGTGGCACGTGATGACGGACCTCTATCCCGTGGTCTTTTTTTGGAAGAGCAAAAGCGGTACTCTAGTCTAGTGCCTGATGGGACGACGCCATGTAGCCTATCGATTAAGGTCGATCAGGCGAGCGTTGGATCAACGTATTTGTGCAACCTCTTCGGCACGCCAAACCAGGAAAGAGTTTCGAGGTGCCTTTTCACTGTTCTTGGGCATTGTATTTGTAGCGACCAAGAACTACATACCCCGCACAGCACCACCGAAACTCAAACTCCGGTTCGGAGGCTGAACAAATCTCGCCGCGCGGAGCGCTCTAAAAAAAACACTCGATAGCCAAGGCTGTTGTGGGGGTAGGTCGAAACGGAAAGGAGGGACCCTAAAATCAACCACGAAAAATAAACAAAAACAGCGATTGCGCCCAAGCCTCACACACCTTGTAGGTATCCAACGGTACAACCACCGCGTGGAACGCCGCCGCTCCCATCGACCCCAAAAACGTCGCCACCCACACCGGCAGCTTGGTGTCAACCCGGTCGCCCCGCCCCCCGCTTATTGTGGTGCCGCTTCCCCCTCCCGAGCTTCTTCTCTGTTGCTGCCCGTGGAACCAAACCATCGCCAGTTCGTTGCTGAGGGTGTCACCGAACCTGCAGAGAGGCGCCGACGCCAGGGACGGCAGCACGCCGCGGTAGAATCGTCGCGGCCCGCCCTGTCGCCAAAGTATCTGTTCGCACCGGCCGTCCGCCGTCGTTGTCGTTTTTATTTTTGTTTGACGATTGGGACAGGCGGCAATCAGACACAACACGCGAGGTGAACATAAAGAAGGGTGAACGACGTTGCACGGAAGATCTCTCCGCGCAGTTGTGCTGGTGCTTAGAGATGTTTCTACAATTGTACCGAAAAAAGCTCGGCAACGGTGCGAAATCCGGGGTAGGAACAACGCATCTGCGCGCGCAAAATTTCTTTTCGTTGCCTAGCTCATCAGCGCGGCCGATTCTAATTGAAAGAAATACACACGTCCTTCGACTTCCGACGTTCCTACGGCCAAGCCTGCTAGCTCACAGGTACAATCGATGGCCAAGTAGGAAAAAACAGACGCACCGTGATAGTTTTAGGGGGTATTCTCTGAGACCGCTCCGTCAGCGTTGACTGAGAGCTTGAAGCGATTGGCCCGTTAACCTATATATTATGTGTAAAACAAACAACCCTTCGAGGTGGTCGATTCCCGGCGTCGACATTTCTACGGGGTTCTCTTGCGTTGCGAAAAAGGGAACGGTGGTTACCTTCAATCTCAGTTAATGCTCTGACGGAGACGTCTCAGGGATTCAGTCCCCGTAACCGAAAACATGGGGAAAGGAAATCGTCTTGTTGTGTTTTTCGTTTCGCTCCGGCCGCTGAACTCTTCGTCATTGGTTTGCAGGATTGGGCATTCGATATTAGTGCTGTATACTACCAAGAGAGAGACAAGAGTAGGCGTGGCAAGTCTCCGTCACCCCGTTGGTTGGGTCTCGGTCATGCTGTGTGCACATGTGCCACATGATCCATGCAAGATGAAAGAAAGACAATCACAAAATACACCATGTATTGTAGCGAGCAAAGCTCGTGTTGCTGCTAACGTTGCCCGATGCCACTACCTATGAGGCAGCAAAAATACATGGTTTGATGCTGCCGCTGCCGTCGATACAAACGTCGGTGATTACGCGTGCTCATCACGAAGACCATAAGCGGGGTCTGCCAGCGCCGCTTGGATTGAACGGGGCCACCAACCCCCCTGCCTCTCACTACAGCGACGGCGTCTCATAGATGCTGCTTGCTGCTTACACCTCGCTGCGTGTCTAACTGCAATAGATGTGGCTCGCATCTGACATTCGACGTACAGCAAGCGGCCGTACATGTAGCCATGACGTGTACTCCGTCATCACACATATGCACAGCACACCTTGCATGTTTCCCCGAACTTTGTGCCGTGGCGCTGCTGGTATGTGATGATGGTGTGGAGCCACATCATGGTGGCCACGCTGAAGACGGTGGCTCCACCCCCGGAGAGCCCGACGGTAAAGCTGTGCCGGAGGGCCTCTCTCGCGGTCACCGCAGGCGCTGGTGCTACTGCTGCTGCGGGGGCGGCGGGTTGTTCAACCTCGGAATCGACGTTGTCGACCTGAAACACTCCTGCTCCATCTTGTTGGGTTGCTGCTGCTGCTGCTGCTGCATTCAACGGTGCCGTGGTCGCTGGTGCTGCCGTCATCCGTGCGTCGGCGCCGGTGTCGCCGCCGCGCGCTGGGGATGTATTGTCCTGGAGACGCTGCTGCCGCGGTGTGCTCTGCCCCCTGCACAAACCGGCTGTCGTGTCCTGCGACCGACCGAATTTGGTTCGGAGCAGTGTGAAAAAGCAACCGGGCTGACAACGAAGCTCCGAACCGGGTCTTCAAATCAGGAACAATGCCGAGCACTTCAGCTTAGCCCTTAGAAGCAGAGTTGATTTCTCCCACACGAGCACGCCAGTTGCCGCCTTCCGTTGCGGCTTGCTTGCGGCCTGTGTGGCGCCTCCTCATTTTGCCCTCCCGTAGTCGAATCCCGAAAAGTTTGTGCAACTCCCACGAACGGGGGCACCGTGTATGCAAGGGAAGAAGAGCATCGCAGAAGCAGTACAGAGACCTTACCTTCGCACGCGTCAATAACAATAGCATTTGACGTACTGGTCCAAGGATACAGACGGTATTAGTTTCGCCCTCCCTAGTCCCTGCGATTTGGTAGCTTCGCTTTGGCAGCAACATCCTCTGTCTTTTTTCTTTCTGGAGAAAGGAAACAGAAGAGGTATGACACCTACTTTGCTGCGAGGGCTGTGTGCGCACGGCACCAAGACATCCGTCGAGGCGGCCAGGGCATGGCGACGCGAGGCCAGGGTGTTTGCTTCGGTCACGGCGAAGAGGAGGTCTGCCGCCGTGGTGCCGGCGGCGAGGGCACTGTGCTCCGCAACACCGGTAGCAGTGGGCGAAGAAGACACCAAGGTAAACGTGGGCTGTTGGATATTCAACATTCAACACCGCTGCTGAACCCGCTGCTGCTGCCGCCAAGGCAGTGCAACAGCAGCAGGAGTACTCTCGCGCTCTTCAAGTGCTGATTGATGTACTCAGCGCTACTGCCGTCGTCGTGGCGGGGGTGCTGGCTTGTCCGTATTTGCCCATTTGACGGGGGTGATGTCCGCAGGTGTGTACATGCTTGCCTTCGACATAGTCAGCACAGCCCGAGAGCATCAGCAGTGGTCAGACCGATGCAGGCAGCAGAACATACGTAGTTCGCTGCTGCTACACGTGTGCAAGTGCGGCAGCAACGATCTGATTGCGAAACACAGGCAGTCTCAAGCGGGGACGTTTCCGTCACCACCGCCGTTAAATGACAGCGGTGGGTGTGGCTGGCCCCTCGCTTCCGACCAGCAGCAAGAAAAAAGCTTTTCACGAATATCCCCCTGTGCATGCGCGCGAAAGGTTACCTTTCTTTCCGACCGGTAACCAACTTTCCGCAGTTTCCAGATGTGGAGAGTGGCGGCAATAGTCAGCTGGGAAAGAATGATACCGAAGGTTACCGAGGATCATTTCATGGTGCCTCGGATAATATGTGCCGACGCTGGCGAGAAGAGCAAATGCCGCAGTGGTAGCTCGGGGTGTGAAAAAGTGCATGAGGTGGTCAATACTCGTCCGTGAGGCCGATGGCCCAAAGCCATGATGCGAAGGAGGGCCTGAAGCCGAGAGTGACGATCGGCTTGTACCTCCACTTACGCTCCAATCATGCTGGATATCGTTACAATATTAAGCTAGTTATTCATGTGGTACTAACCACGCTGACGTACGCCGGGTATATGTGTACCTAGTTTACATGAGAGTGTTCTGTTTCCTCTGATTTTTTTCTATGCCCATTCCCGCACATGCCCCTCTTTCACCTGTATCGGATTTGTTTTTGTTCCTGTCTGCCCTGGATGCCCGGTAGAGTGTCAGAGTGGGTCGATTTGACAGCAGCCAATGCCGTCCGATCAGCAACGCTTTCTTTCTCCTTGAAACCCGCATCACAGCCACCTTCAAGACTCATATCACAACCACCTTCAAGCGGACACGTTTGGAAACTTGGCCAAAGTTGTTCCCTCCCCCAAGATCATGTTGAGCATCTCGTCGGGGCGCCGCTAGGCTCCTTCGCTGCGTGCATACAGTGGGGCCCGCTCAATACCGCTAGTGTTTGCCCGGCGAATCGACCGGCGCTTTTCATCGTGGCCGGCGTTATTCAAAGCACAGAATGACTTGGTGGTTCAATTTGTGCTCGGCAAGTTCATCGGCGCTATTCAACCGGCGTTTTTGTGCCCGCACCACCACTGTAATTTTTGTTTGCATACGCCTCTCCTCGGCGTTGTTGCTACATATGGCGCGGTTGCGATCGTAGCAGGTGGCCTTCGTGAACTTGGAATTGCCGCCTCAGGACATCGGCACGGCGATGAAGCCGCAGCAGATGGTGGACCAGCTGGAGGAGCACATCGTCGGACAGGTAGGGATGATTACTTCGGACACCCTTCGCGAGGATGTTACTGCTGTTTTCTTCTAGTACGAAAAATAGAGAGGAGGGGGGTTCGTATCCCTTTCCATCCCTAACGCTAACTCCCAACCCCACCCCGCACTCTCTACAAAAGCCAACCTAGAGTACGGTAAGTATAACAATATCCTCGCGAAGGCTACTGATAACTTTATACCGCGTCGCAAGTTTCACCCCTCTGGACTGTGCTCGTTCTTCCGAAAAGAGAGAGGAACAACGAACAGACAACAAAATGATCCACCACCAAGACTGCGGTCCGCAACAGCGAGGGATAAAAGAACACTTCTCCACAAATTCCGCAGCGCGCGTTGCTGTAGACGGGGCCTACTGTCACTGTCCTACTATCTAGACGGTGGTAATTTACCTCCCGTGCTGCTATTGATACCGATGTTTGTGGGAGGTGTCGATGATAAGAAGTCACCTTCCTGTGGGATGTGCGCACCACTCCTTTGAACCGGGGCGAAACGCTAGCAGCAGGAGCAGCAGCCTGCCTGTTCTCTCTTGAATCGCTTGAGAACCGAGGGTTGCTTCATCCCGTCAACGCTGTTTGTACAAGAGCCGTCCTCACACGTTCTGGGCCATAGTTACCACGCTCAAGTAGCGTTTCCAAGCACGATTATCCCTCAACGATGCCTCGACATGTGTGTGTGTGTGTGCAGATAAGAATGTTGTGGTCGTTGTGAGTAAAGTTAGAGGCGAAGAACATTGTGTCCAACATCGATTTGGTCAATTGAGTCTAGTTTCACGCTTCCGATACAGCAGTAGGGGTGGGCGTTTAGAAACATCCCTTGAAAAATGCATGCGCTCGGTAATGTGCCGGTAGGAACGACAAACCGCGTGGGATGGAGGGAAAGCATGCAGTCAGCTCGTGTCATTCTCTGCATAGTGCCGTTTTAGTTGGCCGGCACATACCGACACTAATGAGAGATCCCTCTGCCCTTACCCCCGCCCCGGTCTACCACATGCTGCCACTCCCTGCTGCAACGGTGCTGCTCCCTTCAGTCGGACGCTAAGCGGGCGGTGGCGATCGCTCTGCGCAATCGCTGGCGCCGTGCGAAGCTTGATGAAGATTTGAGGGTGAGTATTGTACGTGTCTCCTACTTCTGGCCTTCCTTCCCGGGAGAGCCGCAGACGTTTCAAGCGGTCGCTTCTTCAACTTCGGGAGATGTAGCCGATGATACCCGGAGATGGCTGAAGTGCGAAATGGTGGCGTTTTCGGCGGGAAGAGCGGCGTCGGTAGCGACCTTGACACGATAGCTGCCCTTTGTCTTTTGGTCCCTCTTTCAACTGGAATTATTTATCTTTGTCGCAGTTGCCATGCTCGCATCTGTCTTCAGTTTGTTGTCCCCTCGCTTGAAAGGGGCACCGTAGATGTCCCGCCAGGACGAAGAAAAACACCATGTGTCGATTGTTTATTTCGTTTCCCGCCTCGCTTCATCGCAAATCTGAAACTGTCGGCATCGAGCAATACCACGGTTCCTGGCTGTCGGCATACCCCCTTCCCTTAGGATCTACTGGTAGATCCGACCGTACTGTGTTTCGTGCTGCTCAACACTTTGCGCTCCCTCTTTTTATCGGGCTGACTCCTTTGTTTAGTTCATCTCTCGGCTCACCTCCCCTCCCCTTGTGCCGCTTGGATCAGGGGGACGTGATTCCGAAGAACATTCTGATGATCGGTCCCACGGGGTGCGGGAAGACCGAGATCGCTCGACGCGTGGCCAAGATGTCTCAGGCGCCCTTCATCAAGGTAAACTGCACAGCATGAACTGCACAGCATGCCCGGCTGGGTGGTCTCATCCGCCGCTTTAAGGAAGGCGGTGGTGCCACCGCCGGAGCGGAACATCTCCGCTTGTGTGTGCTTCCCTTTTCTATGCAGTCCGGAGAGAGGGCTAGAGTGGGGGTGGGGGTGGGGGTCACTCTTATGTATCGCATGCCTTTTCGGTTACACTATTAGTTGACCACGCGTCCTCGAGAGGACGGAGCATTGTTCCCACAAGCACGATCACCGATGGCCAATCGTTCCTTCCTACTTTGCCAAATGTTTTCCCTAGCCTATCTATCCTATCGATATCGGGAAGAGGAGGTATTGGATTGAGATCAGCACCGCCGTTTTTGTTGTTCTGTTTCTCGTGTTATCTTCTTTTACTCCCTTCATACTTTACTGTTTGCATTATTTTGGTGCTGTAGGTGGAGGCAACCAAGTTCACTGAGGTCGGGTTCCACGGCCAAGACGTTGACCGGATCATCAAGGACCTCGTGGAGGTGAGGTGGCATAAACGTACAACATGGCGTCAACGTAGATCATTACCTGAACGTAGAACGTGGCATAGATGTACCAGCACCCCTCTCTCTCGACCGACCTTCACAGGTCGAGTGCCCAACAACCAAGAGCTGCTGATGCCGATCAGAGTTGCGTTGGAAATATCTCGTCGAGAGCTTTGCCAGGGGCGTTTTTCGTATTCTTCCATTCTTTCGTAGTTATGGAGGAATCCACCCTTAAAAAATGAGTCATGTATGCGTGTGACCAATCGCGCCTGTACGGGTGAAGCCGAAGAACCCGCCATGCGCGGGCAAGGCATGACCTAATCGTTGTGTCCCACAGTCGCTCTCACGCCCTTGCAGAGTAGCATGGTTTTTGTTGCTGTTGTTGCTGTTCGGGGACATCTTATTCGGAAGCTACACGCATCCCCCGTAACCCGTTGCGTCATGATGCGCATGGGTTTATTCGACCACACTGAACTCAAGCCGATAACGCTAGGCGGGTGATACACCGTGTTTCATGGAGATGCGGTATGAAGGGATTTTGCCAAGGGGACTGGCCTTCGCTGCCGCTTGCCTCTCACACGACTACGCTAACCACGGTCTCTGGCAGGTGGGGATCACCATGACCAAGAAGAAGCAGATGGCGGAACACAGAGAAGCGGTCAAAACAACGTGAGTTGAGCCATCGATACATCACCGAAGTGGCTGTATTTCAATTTCTTGGATGCCGACGGCATATTTGCATTCAACTGAAGGGGTTCTTCCGTTTGACACTTCTAACAGACAGCGGGATCCGTTGGTTGTTGCCCTCATTGCGTCAATCTTCGTGGAGTGCATCGATTGCTTTGGAGTCGGTCAAGCGTTTTCGTATTGCTGTTCTTGACGTGTCGCCCACAGCCGGACGTACTCAATCAAAATTGATACATCGCGTTACGCCTCTTCCGTACCGCGCATTTGGATAGGCTCAAAGTGTTTTGCGTGTGCGGCAACCCCTACTGTTGAGGTGTATACCTGTGCTTTGGGGTGTTTCAGGACGTGCTCAGTCGAAATCGATCGCCTTACGTTCCCTTTCGTTGCTCATGTGGATAAGCTCAAACTACGTCTGTGTGCGGCTAAACACTCACTTACTGTTGGTTTGCTTGTTGGTGTTTCAGGACTGACTCGATCATCATCGACTGTTTGGTTGGAGAGAAGAGCGGTGCAAGCAGCCGGGAAAGCTTCGAAGACTTGCTCAAGAAGGGGGCGCTAGAGGAATATAACATCAAGGTCTCGGACTGATTGTTTTTCATGCCGTGGATGTCTGGTGCTGTTTGGTGTTCTTGCCGTTGTTGCTGTTTGATGGTGATTGCGTTTTGCTGCTGTTGTAGGCGTTAGAGTTCGCCACCGACGTGGTATGTGTGGTGCCGAGTCGTGCAGACTTAGTGCCTGCCCACATCCCGTCGCGGTTGTTGTACGATTGTTTTTTCTTTGCTCACGACTCACGATTAATCTGTCTACGCTCTTTAGATGCCCCGGTAGCTATGTTTTCTTTCCCCAGTAGGAACACGTGCGATTCCCAACCAGTGCCCGTCACCTACAAGATTGGGCAGTGTGGATACAGCCTTATCTTTTGGGAAAATGTGTCAGGATCATGAAGGAGTTTTATCACCTGGCTATCGTAGTACTGGATGGGGTGTGGCGAACCCCTTTGCCGTGGGCATCCAGGGACGTCTACCGGACCAAAACCATGCACAGAGGCACGACAGTTGTGAAATCTCTCCTTGCACGTCTCCGCTAGGTTTTCGACATGCAGAGTTTCGCTTTGCTTGTTACGAGCGGGCTTCTGTAAGATGACCGTTGGTTGGAGGCCATCAACAGCCGTCCCACCATCCCTGCTGGAACTCCAGCGTGTGTCATTACGACACTTTTCGCGGCGCATCATCGTCACTTGTACCTGGTGTGTGCGCCACGATTGTTGAGACAATCTCCTGTTTTTCGTCCTGCTTTGTCCCGACGGTTCTGCATCGCGTTCTGTTTTTGGGGAAACTCAGGTACCCTTGAATCGCAACAATACCCCCGACATGCCGGGAGTAATCTTCTCCGACAACAGCCGGGCCAACATGCCCAAGGTCGAGGATATCATGCAGGTAAGTGCGCCATGATGCGCATGTAGATACCATTTCCGGTATTGTTGCTTCAGCTTGGAGCAGGAGCTTTTGAATCTGGCGGCGATGATTTTTTTCTCACGCTTCGTGCGCGTCAGTGTGGAGTGTACCAACGTGTGACGTGTTCGTTGAGTTGAAGCTGCAATCTGTTTTTGTCGTGGGTCGTACCATTAGATGGGCCTTACCCGACAGAAAGAGACAGAGAGAGAGAGACAGAGAGACAGAGAGAGAGAGAGAGAGACAGACAGACAGACAGACAGACAGAGACAGAGACAGAGACAGAGAGCATACACAATTCCTACAGCGTGTTCTCGTGCGTCAATGTTTGGGGTGCAAGTTAAGAAATTACGTAAAGTATCTCTCTACAGATATTCGTGCCGTGAAACGGAGTGGCGTTGCTCTGGCATTGCCGGCCTGAAAAACCCGGGGTCATTGCAAGCAGCCACCGCGCGTTCCTTGTCAACAGTCGAGCGCACTGAACCGATCAGTACAGCTCACTCGATCAACACAGGCAACAGATACCAGTTTGGGCTGGCTCTTGCAGCGAAGACTAGTTGCACAATTAAGTGCTGCTCAAATATCCTATAGATTGCCGTGTGCCCACGGCTGCTTCCCCAATTGATTTTTTTGTCCCCGGGAAAAAGCGCGCACGCACGGACGCACGCGTGGCGCGGAGTGAGTGTAAAAAACACCCCAGTATGAGACGGTTGTCTCCAGGTTCGCGTGTGAGCAAGTTCCCGTTGGGATGTGTGGTGTGGATACACACCGGTTCAACCTCTGGTGGAGAGGCTGACGAGTACGGATAGTTGTGTTGTGAGTCAGGGGGGGGAGCGACCTTGTGTTGAAGCAAGGTTCAGCATCCATCCGACACTGACTCTATCTGTGGCAACACCCCGAAGGTAGATCTCCGACAGGTCATCTGACGTCACCATCTACTACAACAGTCTGAGGTGGCATTCACACCAGCAATAATACATACATGTATCCGAACCACATAATTATGGCGTGTCATCATATACATACATAGATGGATATAATATATAGGTGGTGCTAAAAAGAAAAACAGCAAAAAATATCCTACTACTGTATGTAGTACTACAGTACTGTAGTCGAAATGCGAAAAAGCTCTTTCTATGATGGCCGCGGCCGTCGGGTGGTTTTGTCGTCCTTACTACTTTCTTTCGGCGCTGAAGAATTTGCGGGTTCTTTCTTTCCTTGTCGTTCCTGCCACAAATTGTCCTGACTTTCTTCATTATTATATTTTAGGGGGCATTGCAAGGGAAAGAGATACGGTCGACGCGGCACACCATATAATATGTCGTGATATGGATGTGCTGGGCGGTGACATGTCAGCGTGTGAGCACACAGCAGCAGCAGTACTGCTGTGTTGCAGCGAGATTGCACGCTACATGGTGGGAGACAGCAGTCAGTGTAGGACGCACGACATCTTATGGGAGCACATAGCAGTGGACACACGCAGCAGTAGTGGTGAATGTTGTGTCTGGGGCCGGTGCTGCTGTAGTTTTGTCCGAAAAGATTGTTGTGCATGTTGGCGCAGACAAAAAAAACGGTGATGATGAGTTTAGAACGCGTGACACGCATGAAGGCCGTTGTTGGTGTTGTTTCGCTCCTTGCTGACACCAGCGTGTCGACACCCCAGTGTGTGGCAGCACACAGCAGTCAGTGTGTGAGCACACAGCAGTGTGGGAGCACACAGCACACACAGCTGTACATTAGTGTGCAATGTTGTTTGTTGTCTGGTGGCGGAGGCGCTGGGATCGCTGCCATCATCGCGACAACAAGCTTTCATCTAGACCCACGCCTGCATACAGCAGTAAGTACTACTGCTGTGTTGCAGCGAGATTGCACGTTACAGGTGGGAGACAGCAGTCAGTGTAGGACGCACGACATCTTGTGGGAGCACATAACAGTGGACACAACAGTGGACACACGCAGCAGTGGTGGTGAATGTTGTGTCTGGGGCCGGTACTGCTGCTGTAGTTTTGTCCGAAAAGAGGAAAAACGCGAGAAATGACGCTATTTTTGTGTATGTAGTATGTTGGCGCAGACCAAAACATAGAACGCTAGCAGCGAGATTGCACGTTACATGGTGGGAGACAGCAGTCAGTGTGGACGCACGACATCTTGTGGGAGCACATAACAGCAGTGGACACACGCAGCAGTAGTGGTGAATGTTGTGTCTGGGGCCGGTGCTGCTGTAGTAGTTTTGTCCGAAAAGATTGTGCATGTTGGCGAAGGCCAAAACGGTGAGTTTATAGAACGCGTGACACACATGAAGGCCGTTGTTGGTGTTGTTTCGCTCCTTGCTGACACCAGCGTGTCGAAACCCCAGTGTGTAGCAGCACACAGCAGTCAGTGTGTGAGCACACAGCAGTGTGGGAGCACACAGCACACACAGCTGTACATTAGTGTGCAATGTTGTTTGTTGTCTGGTGGCGGAGGAGGCGCTGGGGTCGCTGCCATCATCGCGACAAGCTTTCATCCACAGACCCACGCCTGCAAACAGCAGCAGTACTGCTGCTGTGTTGCAGCGAGATTGCACGCTACATGGTGGGAGACAGCAGTCAGTGTAGAACGCACGACATCTTGTGGGAGCACATAACAGTGGACACACGCAGCAGTAGTGGTGAATGTTGTGTCTGGGGCCGGTGCTGCTGTAGTTTTGTCCGAAAAGAGGAATAACGCGAGAAATGACGCTTTTGTGCATGTTGGCGCAGACCAAAACAGTGAGTTTAGAACGCTTGACATATATAAACGATTCCAATTCCAAGAGGGTCTCTCAAGCAAGTAAAAAGTGTGACATTTTTTTACTTGTTTTAACTATGGAAGTGATTACATGCTTTCACTTGTTAAATGTGTCGATTTCCATTACATGTTTCACTTGAATACAGTATGTATCTCGATCAGTTTTTCGACTTGATTAAAGTATGGATTTTTGTCAGTTTTTTTACTCAATTAAAGTATCGAAATTTCGGACAGGATTTCTTTACTGCTTTTTTCGGGATTGCGCTGGCTGAAGCCCCAATTTTGCAATTGGGGAACACGTGCTCCGTTGCGTTTGGTTTGTTTTAATTCGAGCGTGACGCATTGTATTGAACTGGGATTCCTAGAGAAGACAACAAGACCAACGTTGTGCTCGTCTCCTACATTTGTTTATGTTGATCGCTTATCCCTGTGTAGACCAACTCAAGGTGGGCATGAATCTCGCCAACACTCGTACGTAGGAAAGTAAGTAGAATGCAAATTGTTGGTATGTCTGTGCTAAACGCCAAGCACTCATGCATACAGGCATTCATTGCCTGATGAAATGTCCTCGCCTGTTCTCAAGTGTTGTTTCTTGTTGTCGCTGCCGCGGTTTGCCTCCCGTTTTTTTTTCATTTTTTTGCGAAATCCAGGTGCTGAAGGCGAGCACGGGGGGCAAGAACCGCAAGCAAGAGCAAGAGATGAAGGTAGGGATATGCCCTTTCGACCCTTGACGGTGTTGATCTTGTCGTACGTACAAGGCTTTGTGGTAGGGCAGTATGATTGGAGAGTTTTCCTTAGTGAAGGTGGTGGAGATGCCGCTTTTGTTGGCCGCTGGCCAATGCCGTGTGTAGGAACAACCACATGTTTTATTTGATGTTGGTCGTTGCAAGCGCTTGGGGTTGGGAGGGTCGATGTGCTCACCAATAGTGGTGGCTTGCATGTCTTGTTCTTTGGTCAACTCTAATTTTTCAGGTTTATCTGAAAATGGTTCTAGCGAGAGCTTGCACACGCGGCCGCTGGCGTAGGTCGCAGGTTGGCTGCGATTCCGATTGTGCACGCGTGTTGTGTTCGTTCTTCGGGCCCTCCCTCGCGTGTAAGCCTGATTTGGTTCTGAATCTGATTTGACGGTGCGCGTAATATTGAGTGCCTTTTATCCCTTGCTCATGGTGTCGCAGATTAAAGATGCGCGGCCGCTGATCGAAGACATGGAGATCGAGAAACGGTTGGATATGGCGCAGGTGACAAGAGACGCTGTGAAGGCCGTGGAAGAGACGGGAATCGTCTTCATCGACGAAATCGACAAGGTTTGTTGTACGTTGCATCTCCTTCTCTGGAAAGTCGTGTGGTTGATTGCTTCAAGAGTTCGTGGGGAAGAAGCTTCGTAGCCTTGCAACGGGCAACACATTCCGTAGGTGACATCAGATACCACGCCCCCCGGATCGACTTTTATAGCTTGGGTGGTCATCGATGAAGAGGACCCATAAACCAAACGAAACGTTTTCGCAAAGTCCTCGACGACGGTCTGCACACCGCCATCTTCGTCGCCGCCACTATTTCTGCGCTGAACATCGCTCCTGGGGATGTGGTACCTTACGTCACCCTGGTTATGTATGTGTATGCTGTTGTCCAACGTTCGTGTTCGGGACACCAGACTTCACGGTTCGTTGTGTTAGACGCACCGGTCGGGGGCGCAAACGAAGGATTCTACACAGGAGAATCAACTTGTCGACGCTTCCCTTCTTGCAGTGCTTACCGACTCTTTTTTATTTCGAGGAGGTTTCAGCCATCAACTGCTCGTACCCACCGACGTCAGTACGCCCACGGAATCATATTGGGGAATGGAGCATGTGTGCCTGGGTGTTCGCTTATCTTAACCACCGGGGCGACCGGCCTCACAGACTCCCCAGAACTGCTTGGAAACACATCCCTCGTGCCACACAACTTTTTGTTCTTTTTCGCAATTGGCATTCAGATTCGCAACGCGGGCGAGCGCCGACCCCCGTACAGAGTTCCCCTGAAACGCTTGGAAGTGCATGCCTCATGCCACACACATACTTTTCCCCCAACAAATGACATGCAGATTTGCAACGTCTGCGAGCGGCGACCCACTTTAGGGAGTCCCCTGCAATTCTTGGCAACACATCCCTCATGCCACACGCATCGTTTCCCCCCAACAAATGACATCCAGATTTGCAACGCGGGCGAGCGGCGATCCGCGGACGCGAGCGCGGAGGGGGTGCAGCGCGACCTGCTGCCCATGATCGAGGGGTCGAGCGTGTCGACGAGACACGGCAACATCGACACGAGCTTCATCCTCTTCATCGCCTCGGGGGCCTTCCACTCGTGCAAGCCTAGCGACATGCTGGCCGAGCTGCAGGTACGTATGTACGGGCGACACAGCAGTTACGCTAGCTTTTAGCGTTTCACCGACACGACGAATGTCCTTTGGTTGGGCGCCTGTGCGCCTGTGTTTATTCGCACGACCAAGAGCGAGCGCGATATGACCAGTTCCAGCCAGGGCCAGTGCGGCATTGTTGTGTCTGTGGGCCCTTGGATATTTTTCTAGATATGCTTGGCTTTCCTGAGGTGCTGCTGTAGACCGTGTGTCACGACGCTGGTCGTGTCTGATGGCGATGTTATTGTCCGCGAAGGGTGTGTGTCGATGTTGCGCACGCAACTTGATCCGTTCGTCTCTGCTGCTGTGTGGGTTTGTTCTTGTGGCAGGGGCGGCTTCCTATCCGCGTCCAGCTGAAGGGCCTGAGCGAGGACGACCTGTACAAGATCCTAACAGAGCCGAAGAACAACCTAATCCGCCAGCAAGTGGAGATCATGAAGACCGAGGGGGTGCGTATACAAATATCAAGACTGCAACAATGTCCGATGGTAGAATGGCAAGGACACCTTTTTTGTCAAAACGACCACAGCCGGGGTTTGAGATGTTCGGTTTTGCCCTTGTAGCGGCAATCCGACAGCCTAAGAATTATCCCAACAAACGGAAGTCACACGACAGTCGACAGCCGCCAGAGGTGCAGCAGATACAAGTTCAGCCCTCTTCACAGGCATGGACTGTGAAAACTGTTCGCACCAAATACATCCAACGGTTGTTAACACGGTGAGTCGAGGTTGATTTCGGGCGTTCTCGGATACTCGTGAGATGAGTAGCCAAGGTGGTACGCCACAATTTTTGTTCGGGGTATAGTCTTGGCAGGTAGCAACCTTGCAACCACGGGCAAGGCCCTCGCCCCCCCCTATCTTATTTTCGCATATTTTTGTTGTTCCGCTCCAGGTGGACTTGCAGTTCACGGACGAAGCCATCCGGGAGATCGCCCGTGTTGGGGCCTACGTGAACAAGACGGTGGAGAACATCGGGGCGAGAAGGCTGCACACTGTGCTCGAGCGAATTGTCGAGGTATGTATGCGATCGAAATCGGTTTGAATTGCGAATTGAATGTCGTTCGTTGTTCTGACTATGGTATCGTATGCATCTGCCGCACCCGAATTTACCATGTATACTCTCACGCAACTTTGTTTCGACGCCCGTCACATGGGCGTTTTTGGGCGTTGCTGCCGCTGAAGGGGATTCCGTTCGTGTTGTAGCGAAAGTAGCGTCGCTGACCCATGAGTAACCGAATTCGTCAGCAATTTGGCGTATTTCGTCGCTCTGGTGCGCGCTTCGAAGGGCGTAGGACGCCGCATGAGTACGGAATTTCGCCCTTTCGCTTCCTCACGTTGTGCTCGTTCGCTATCATCGTCTGCCGTCTGTTCGTCACGCAGACGATCAGCTTCGACGCCTCTGAGATGGAGGAGGGCACAGTGGTTTCGGTTGACATCGACCTGGTGAAGGAGCGAGTCAGTGACATGCTCGAAGGATCGGACCTTTCGAAGTTCATCATCTGATGCAGTCTACTATATAGCTTATCCTGTCAACCGCTGCCGCTGCTGTGCCTGCTGCCGGCTGCTTCTGTAGATATTGACCGCCCGTACGTGGTTATATAAGGCGTACGCGGGAACGAAAACCTTGGGGGGGGGGGGGGTCCACGAGCGCATTTTTGCCAAGTCTTAGGGCGTATATTAACGAAGTGCCGAAAATCAAAATCGAAAAAATCAAAATCAAAATCGAGATCTGATTGGTCGAATATCTGCTACCTCCTGACGACGCCCTTTGATTTTTGAGAAGTTCCTCTGTCCGTGGGAAGAAGTCCCCGGGGGACTTTTTTTTGTCAAAATCAAAATCAAAGAGGAGAGGAGTTCAAGACTTCGAAGGCTTGGAGCACCTGCCGCGAGGCCGCTGCAAAGCAGGTGTACGACACGACCTGCTGCACACTGCTTATAGAGGGGCTATCGGCACCCTACCACCGACAACATGGCCATTATTTGTAGCCAGAAGACTCTGCTCGCCGGCAAGCCACAAAACGGGCCGGCTCGTTGGGTACTCGAGGAGAAAATGCCGATCGTGACAAGCCGTGAACGGACTGACGATCAGAACAGGGCTTCGCGGCTTTTTCGGGCTGTTCCGTGCGGGAGAGGGTAGTTGCAACCTTTTTTCTCCACACTCACGATACTCCAAGGCATCTAACCTTGTACGAGACAGATGGTGGGTAAAGCTACCTCCCGTCGCGTGGCATTGCTAATGCTGTTGCTTCCTCCTTCGAAGAGTTATCGCTGAAAAACTAAACTGTGAGCAGACATTCGGCGCGAACTTGAACTATCCGCTCTCTGACGTGGATTTTTTAGGGTCAACCAAAACTTTTTTCCCTACACGCACGATACCCCACGGTAGCAGACCTTGGGCTTGAAAGATGAAGCAGAGACGTACCTCCTGCCGCGTGGCGTTGCTGTTGCTGTTGCTTCCTTCTTCGGGAAGTTATTGGTGGATATCACAACCCGTGGCGGCCCAAAACACCTAACTTGAAGTGACCGCTCGCAACCGTTGGCATTTTTGCTTCAACACAACCTTTTTTTTCCGGCGCATTCGGCACCTCACGGCCCCAAACCTTGGCAGTGCCCAACAGCCCATGTTTCCAGCTCCTTCCGGATACCTTTCTTGAGGCAACTTGTTGAGTATTTGGCGAGATATCGGCTAACACGTGAACAGAAGAGCGTAAAACGCACCCTAGAAAAATCACCGCTGCGCTGCTGGCTCTTCCCCTGGTGCCAGGTCTTTTTGATTTTTTGCCTCATCTGTCTCCTATCCTCGTTAACCTACACGACCCTCTTTTTTCAGTTTTCCACGATAACGCATTTTGATTTTGATTTTGCGCCCATTTGGATTTTGATTTTCGGCACTTCGTTAATACACGCCCTTAAGGGCTACATCGCGAACTCATGTCCTTTCAACCAACCAAAGTCATCGTCAAAGCCGGAGCCGGACTAAATTTGTCGGTACTGGCGCTTGAGGTTTCCCGGTACAAGTCCAGACGAAACTGCACCTGTATTTATTTGAAAGTGTTTGTTTGAACTTCGTGTTGCGAGTTTTCGCCGCACCGTTCATGCGTCGCGCTTTGATGCGCGCGTGGCTCAACACCTGAACGATCAATGGCACCTCTTGTCCAGCATGCTTCTGCCACAAATGGAAGCGGACCGGGGTTGGCGTGTAGAAGGTTCCCTTTGATTAGGACTGATTGTTTCTACACAAACGGTGATGCTTCATAGCCGACGACAGTGGTTCGGATTGCGTGCAGTGGACAGGGACCATGAGAGGGTGGGGGATGTGGGGAAGGATGCGGATCGGTTTGTCATTGCCACATGACGTGCGCTCGTCCTCTCGCATCTTTGGTGGTCAGTGTTGTGTTACTGGCTTGTTTTTGGATGAGTGCATGAGTTGCCAACGCGGGATTCGATTGCGGATGTCGCTTGCTTTGTGAGGCCCTCCGAGTTCTAAACTCAGAAGCTACCCCGCCAATTTTTGCGAACCTCCCCTTGGCCTGGATGTCCAACCCAACGGTCGTGTAACAGCCCGGGTTGGCATGAGTCCGGTAGCTACATACGAGCTCCTTGGCCGTTTTTACCCCGACAAACGGCTTCCAATTGAAGGATACACCCTTGAAGGGTTAGACACCCGAACCGAACCCTATGGTACAAGCTGAGACTCTCACGCGTCTGTGCAAGAGCAGTTTCAACACCATTATTGCCAGGTTGTTTGCTGTGGTGGGTTTGCGTTCTTTGTTCATGCGATGCTGAAAGACTTGAAATCTTTCTTAAAAAAAAAAACAATAATAGTTGTCTGCGCCACTTCTCACTCCTCCAGCAGGCCTCAAACTTATTCGACACCTACCGTATTGCCTCCACGTACAATATTCGCGCTGAACCCGGAGCAAGGTGTTGAAATACGTTGGGACATCTTCATGATGTGCGTGTGAAGAGAGGAGCGTGAGATTTCCTATCCTATTTTGCCTGGCGCCGGTCGAGGCTCTTCCACGTCGAGGCTCTTCCACTCATATTGTTTCATCCAACACGACAGCACACACAGACGTTCGTCGCTCGCAGCACAAATCTACTAACTCCAGCGACTTCGCTCTACCCATTGCTGTGAGTGGACGAGGGCTCACTCGCGCTTTATCGCTGACGTGGCCACCCGTGGCGTACCCTCTCCATTCGAGAGCAGAAGTTTCGCATCACCAGCGGGATCCCGCTCGCTCTATAGCTCTCATTTTGACAAGCTTGCACGCATGCAGAACAAGAGATACGCTCGTGCAGAACAAGAGATGGAAGCACACGAAAAATACGATGGCGACCTTTTTTACCCTGCAAGGAACCATCCCCCTATTGGAGAACCCGCGATTACTACTGGTCGGTTACAACAATTTGTTGGTGAATCACTGTGAGATGTTCTTGTTGTCCGACTCCGTCCAAAATATCGGTCCCGACAACGCCTGGAGAATTCGACTACCATATACCACACGAGGTACCACACCCACAAAAATAAGACACTCCCAAAAAATACACCCGGTGAGAAAAGATCTCAAACGAGGAACCGAAATACTACCCGGGTTACTTAGGATATTCCAACAACTGAGGTCAGGCCGCACGTCATCACAGACCCCACGCAGCTGTTACCCCGGTGATGACACAGCGGTGGTCCTTGATCCAAACGGGATAGCCCAGCTGGGAACACATGCAGCGCACCCTTCTGAGTGCGGGGACACTACCCCGCATAAAAAATGCGAACAAGTCCATTTTTTTCTCCCCTGCGTTCTCGGCATATACTCTATTGCGCCAGGCGTAGTGTTGGATGACACCCTCTTTTACTACACGGCCAACACTTTCGCTGTTTCGATGCTGGCGCTGTCGTTGTTCATCGCTGCGGGTCACGTGATCAGGCGGGTTGTCACCTCCCCTCCCCCCCGGCAGTTTACTGTAGTCAATGGTGTCACCCCCGCTCGTACCACACACCCCGCAAATACGGCAGTAGTACGGCAGTTCTTTGCAGGCAGTGGCATCAAGCCCCCTCAATACCACGCCTGATGCACTTGTGGCATCAGGCACCGTAAGAATAACTTTGCAAGCAGTGTCAGTACCCCCCCTGTTTACCACACCCGTCTCCGCAAGTGTGCAGCAGTGGAATCACATCCCCTGGTTTTCACCCTCCTTTTATGGCTCCCGCCCGCGCTTTATCACCCGGGCTACACAAGACAAAGCACACAACGCCCTGTAACCAAAAACAAATCTGTGATCCCTGGGGTGTGTTATCTTGCGTCGTATACAGTATTTCAAAACGACATTCCAGACGATGAACTACAACAGTGGAGGCTGCTTCTTTCGATAGCCGTGCACAGCCGCGGAATACTCAGCAGTCTCTCCGCATCATGGGCGAGAAACAAAGCAATTGAAATAACTTAAGACAGACTATGACCAACTCTCAGCATCAGCATACCCCAAGTGGTAAGGGTTCCCGAATTTCCCTTTCGGGTTAACACGAAGGTTTGTAACCACCCGCAACTCTGTCGTACTGTTTCGGCTGTATGGCTAGCGTTTACATCTTACGGTCGTGAGGAGCTATCGTTGACCACTCAAGCCCAGCGGCACTGCCACCCGTACTCTGGTAGCTCACCCACACACCGCAAAATGCAGCCATCCAGTCGATGGCCGACGAATTACGGCTTTCCATCAAGCTTGACTGCATACCTGGAATAGCACGAGGGTTTCAGAAAACAGACCAGAATCCGCGAGAGAGCAACGATGCACACATTGATCGATGGGGGCGGGCTCGAGCGCTAGCTGCTACAGCAACAACAATTATTTGCTGTTGGGTCCGCAATCAGAACGGGAGGATGGCGCAGCTGCCCAGCAGCCAAAAGAACCCGAACTCCTCGGTTATCTAACCTTGATTGAAGGAAATCCAAGGCTTGACTGAACACCAAGGCGTGATGCATCCTGATTGTTGTGGTACAGAATGACCGCGAAATACCCCGAAAACAGTCAAGATCGACAAAAAGTGCTGGCGGGGGGGGCGGGGGGCATTCACACTACACCAGCACTGTACGTGGTAAATAGGCAACAACATATCGAGCCAATAATGCAAGCATTGATGGCGATTTGTTGCAAATTATCTTATCGCCACTAACCTGCATAGGCTCGCCGAAACAAAGCCTCGTCCACGCGCCCTACGCCTCAGGATGGGCAACACCGTTCTCAGCTGTGGTGCAGTTGTCGAGGATGACTCGGTCTCGGTGGCAGCAGTACCCCCCGCAGGCAACCCAACACGGGGAACCCCATTTTGCCAGAGCCAAGAAGTCGCATGGACGGCCTCCACCCGCAATAGCAAGCGGCGGATCAGCTCCAGCCGGCGCAGCAGCTCGTCTGGAATGGCTTTCCGGTAGGCTATCTTTATGCGCAGGGCTTCGGTAGCGAGAGACAAGGGCGTGCATACGACTGGCAATGTTCCCGGTTGGATGGTGAAGCGAACGATCGATGTCGTGTCTGCTCCAGCGTCGACGAGCAACCGCACCACCTTTGGAGAGCACGACTGGTTCAAGCCGACATCGATGTTGCAAATCAAAGGTGTCCTGCCGCAAGGGTCGCGCGGGCGGCTTACGTACGCGGATTTTTCTGAAGGCGTCCCGTTCTGCTGCTGTAATAGGAACTTCACAACATCCATGTGGCCAAAGCTGGTGGCCTTGACGAGGGCAATGCCTGTGTCGACCACCCCGGCGGTTGTCAAGGCGAGCATGACGTCCATGTGGGGTTTCATGGCAGCAAGTTGCAGGGCTGTCACGCCACCGGTGCCACCGCCACAGCCCCGGATCCCGAACCTCTGAAGCAGCTCGAGTACAACTCCTAAGCGCCCGTTCTGAGCAGCTGTATCCAAGGGAAGGTGCTGCCAGGCCAGATTCACTCTAGTCAGCAAAGGGTTGGCCTTCGCGCGGAGCAGCTCCTTGACAACGTCCACCCATCCCGCCCACGCTGCACCGTACAACGGTGTCTCTCCGCTGGGCATGCGGCTGTTTACGTCAGCGCCTGCGTGCGTCAGCACTTTCACCACCTCCAAATGCCCTTTCTCTGCTGCGAAGTGAAGCGGTGTGGCACCCTGAGCACCCGTGGCTGCCACGCTTGCCCCTGCCTTGAGCAGCATCTTGGTCACGACCACGTACCCCGCGAAGGCCGAAAGATGCAACGCGGTATTGCCCTCATCGTTGATCGCTGAAACACTCGCTCCCTTGCTAAGTAGGATGCTAACAACGCTCGGGTGATCGTTGCAGATGGCGTGCATGAGAGGGGTCCCCCCCGAGGAATCGCCCCCGTCAATGTCAATCGATCCAGTTGAGAGGATGGCAGCGGTGAGCCAAGTCGACCCATCACGTGCGGCCTCATGTAGCTTGTTGATAACGACTCGTGGACTCTGCTGTAGTAGCGGGGGCAATGACATGTTGCAGTGCTGGACCAGGGACGAGGGCTAGACGTCTGCGTGTGTACGGCGGCGGTGTGTGTGATGTCCCGTTCTGCTATAAGCCTGTGCGCTGTCGTGTCGCGCCGTGGGGTGACTTGGAGGGGGCCCGTGTATGCCCGAAGAGTATTGCTGCGCCACACCCTACCGAACACGGACCACAATTTGACGGCGGGACGGTGCGGCATCCACCAATCAGCGGTCTCTAATTCACCTGGCGTCTGGCGTCTGGCCTCTCTCAATTAGCTACTGTCAATGCTATTCCGCCGCAATACCGCGAACCGAGTTGTGTAACACACAGCCCCGCACACAACACGACTCAACCTTGCAGCCGGGGAGCTGGAACTGGGGCATATCACACGCCCACAGCAGGGAAGGGGCCACCATACATGTAGCTTGGAACAGCACAATTTTACAGCATCTACTGCGCCGGCACATACAAGTCTCGCATGTCTTGTACGTAGCCTTTGCAGTTTCGCAACCCTCCACACAGGGTCCAATGTACTGTACTTGTCGATGAAGGAGAGCCGAGCACAACCGAACCAAAAGTGCGCCACACACACACCTCACACCCGCCCCCTCGTTATGGCCCTCACGATAAGGCGGGTAAATATCATGTGGCACCATCTACAAAGTAGCACAGAGCCTACATTGAATGTGTAAATCGATCGACACGCACCGTGTACCGTGGACCCTACGACGATGGTACATATCTGTCCGGTTGAATATTCGCGAAACGACGTATGGATACAACAAGGGGTGCATGATGGATAGACTGTTGCTGCTGATACTGGGTTCGTTCCTGCTGGGCATATGTTAACAAAAAAAATGGTAGCCAAGAAGACCAGGAAAGAGCGCAGTAAACTGCACGGTCTCGCGTGAGGACTGACACCTACGATACTACGTAAAGAAGCGGGTCTGTCCGTGGAATGCTACATAGGGTGATGAATTTTCACTGTGGCTGCTGATATGACACGATGCCCTCCTGAGTCGTGGGAATTAACGACTGTCACGTTGGGAGATGCAACATACGTAGTCTACGTACAGCGATATTCTGCCTTCGGCTGGGCTTGAAACAACCCTTGTGCTGTCCTCCGCTCTTGAATCGGCGTCTTCCTGGGTTTAGGCGAGGACATACATGTAGATCTAAGGTGTGTGTCTCTGAGCAGAAAGGATTTGTCGTATTGGCGTTCGCGATCTTGCCCGCTGGCACCGACATCTGATCTCTTCATTGGCCAGCCGGTTAGCGCCTTCGACCCGCATTTAATGCGCTTTCGATGCGCACCAACAGACGGGAGATCCATCCTTCGGCCAGACTACATCTCAAGTGAAGTGATGGTGATCGGGCATCTCTGTATCTATCTTGATTTAGCGGCATCATCATCAGACATGGATATGCCTGCATGGATGTACCGCTGTGACTGAGGTGTACGAGGGCTCAACCGCACTTGAGTACTGACGTCACCACCCGAGGCGTATACCCTCTCCATTCAAAACCGGAAGTTTCGCACACCAGAGGGATTCCGCGTCATTCATTGCTCGTGGCGCCAAAGAACGCAATTGTCGACACTCACTCTCGTGCAGCGCCACCAAATAGCACCGCGTGGAGGATATCGGTGGCCCTCCTTATCCTCAACCTTTGCAAAGAAACCCCGTCTCACTCAACAGGAAAATCCGCGATGAAATAACGGTGGCAACAATCTGTTGGTCACTCGATGTGAGGTGAGATACCAATGGCGTGTTGTCCGATACATACTGTGTATACACCGGCAACATCTCTAAGGTCTATCAACACGGAATTTCGAAACGATTTGCCAGACGATGATGGACAAAATATTGGACTGCAGGCTGTTCCTGCAAATAGTGCTGTAGGATACTCTCAAAATCATCGGTTCCGACACCAACCCTAAGAATCGGACTATCCATACATTTCAAAACGACGACAAAGAGAACAACAATACTGGAGGCTACTCCTGCAACTAGCTGCTAGCCTGCGAGACCACGGGAAATTTAACGATTTTCCTCGCTTCTCAGGCGAGAAACGATGAGGAGGCAAAGAGCCAAACGGCATTCCACTCTACAACGGCGTCTCTCCGCTGGGCATGCGGCTGTTTACGTCAGCGCCTGCGTGCATCACTTTCGCCACCTCCAAATTCCCTTTCTCTGCTGCGAAGTGAAGCGGTGTGGCACCCTGAGCACTCGTGGCTACCACGCTTGCCCCTGCCTTGAGCAGCATCTAGGTCACGACCAGGTTTCCCTTGAAGGCCGAAAAATGCAACGCGGTATCGCCGTCATCGTTGGTCGCTGAAACACTCGCTCCCTTGCTAAAGTAGGATCCTGACAACGCCCGGGTGATCGTTGTAGATGGCGTGATAGAGAGGGGTCGCACTCGAGGGGTCGCGTTCGTCGATGTCGATCGATCCAGTTGAGAGGATGGCAGCGGTGAGCCAAGTCGAACCCTCACGTGCGGCCTCTCATGTAGCTGGTTGGTGACTCGAGGCCTGTCCAGTGACGGAGGCGTTGACATGTTGCAATATAGGGCTGCTCGAGACGTACCGAGGCCCAGGCCAGGCGACGAGGGCTAGACGCCTGCGTGTGGTACGGCGGTGGTGCTTGTGGTGTCCTGTGCTGTTCGCCGTCCCCTGCAGCCTACCTGAGATGCAGCAGCTGTGTGCTGGCAGCTAGCGGTGACTTGGAGGGGGCCCGTGGGTGCCAAACGGTACAGGGACCAACCCTAAAACCGACACAATGGCGGTGTCGGGACTGCGTAGTATCCGCCAATCACCGGTCTGACTTTCCGCCACTTTTCGGGTTACCGAGCAGAGGTCCCACACTACTCAACCTTCCCGCTGGGGAGATGCAACCACGCCCACAGGAGGATAATGGAACCATCAGAATGGGTAGATTTGTATCATGTGTGCGCAGCTCGGTACACATGTCCGCAAAGGTAGTTTCGCAACCCACCAAAACAGCCTCCTACGATAGAAGTATGAAACTAGGGCACACGCAGTTGCCGATGACAGAGAGTAGCACACCCAGAGCGCAACATACACACATTTCGCATTCGCCCATGGTCGCGACCCTCACGAGCGTCTGGGGACATAACCTTCGGCGCCATCTAGCGCACAGCGAACGACATAATCGGCAGATAGTGCCTTGGACCCTGCGACGGTGGTACATTTCCTTTGTGAAATAATTAATCACAAAACTAAAACATACATTTCGGGTGTGTTCATGGATCATCATCCGATTCCCTGCAGGATCCCTGCCGGGATGTTCACCAAACAATAACCAAGAAACGTGCAAACTACTACCACATGTCTTGCGTGAGGACTTCCAACCTTCCTTGCGCTATTTCAAGCAAGGGTCTGCGGCATGCCGCGCACTTGCTCACTCACTATTTTTTCTGGTGCGCATCTACGAAGGTGTGTACACTGTCATCGTGGAGAGCAATCACTTCATATCGATACTGTAGTACTTCATCGATCGTCAAAATACTTCCTAAAGATGTTAGATTCGTCCCGCTCGGAACCCACCATCGTTTCGCTGCTGCAATCACACATATTGAATGCGGAAACGCTCGGGAAGACATCACTCCGGAAATGAAACAAAGAAAAGGTAACGTCGGCCGCGCATTACCCCCCCCTCGCTCTAACGTTGGCCGCAACCCATGACACTGCACTATTGTTGTCTCCATGGAACTACCAGTAAATAGCGAAATAAGTTGCCTCAATCTCTGCCGTACGCGCTATGTAGCAGGCTGCACGGCGCCTCAAAGGCCGGAACAACTCGGACGAACCCCCGTCGGACACGCGAGAAACAACCTCGGAACAGAAAGCCAGTATTGCGTACGTACCCGCCTGCGAATCCACCTGTGTTCCCCGCACCCCTTTCCAAAGTCTACTGCGAAGAGCAAACAGCTGGTCTACCACAACGCAACCCCTGAATCGCAACAACCAGGACGCCAACAGACGCGAAACGTGTTGGGAATGTGGCAGCCACAGAGAGATCACTCGCAGTCTCTACTACCCATGCCACATGGGTGCCAACGGCGTCAACGAATTGAGGAAACAAATACATGTGATAGTAGATGCCCGGATAACCTGAAGCAAATTTCGGGTCTAGGCTCAGTGTCTTACCACCATCGAGCACAGGCCAACATAGGGTCTAATTTTGAATGCTCTGCTGAGCTGTGTTTTCTAATCTCAGTGTTGCGTGAACATTTGAGCCTTGTATTTGATTGACTGCGGGCCCGCTCGGTGCAACACCAACCCGAACCGTCACCAATGCCTCCAACCTCCTCGCTCAACATGGTGGCGACCACCAGTGCCGTGCCACATGACGCCGGCGATGCAGACCAGGTGAAACCAGAAGCCCGCTGCGCATACGCCTACACACCGGCGGCGGGCGCCTGGGCGGCTTGCGGCGCGTACGAACTCGCCTTGTGCTGCGGCAGAGCACGGCATGGTTTTATCGCGGAAACGCGGGGAAAGGCAAGGGGGGGTCAGAGTCGCGTTCGACAAGGGGTGTGCTGGCGCCGACACCCGACGGTATTCGATTACTATGTCGGGGGTCAGCAGCTTAACACTTTCCAGCATTAGACCTTCTAACATGTGACTATAATACCATTGACCAAAGTCCACAGGGCGCGAGGTGCCGCAAGACCAACGGGGGGGGGGGGGGGGGGGCAGAGGACAAGTCGCGCGGTTGTCAAGGTTAGCTGAAAAAGTTATGAAGTCGTCAGCGTCCATCGTGCGGAGAATAACCTTGGGCTCGAACTCGAAGTCCTTCGGCGTGGGTCCTAGCAGCATTTCGCAGATCTTGATCCAGTCCTTAGGGTTCAGGCTGCACATGAGACTCTCCAGGTCATCCCGCCCATTCTGGCGAACCAAGAGGACGAAATGCATCACACAGAAACAGACAGGTGGGGACGGAGATCGTGCGAGAGGGGTTGAGGGGCAGGAGGGAACCAGACCAACGTCAGTCAAACAATCGGTTATCCGAGGTTCAAACAACCAAGAAGAGCACCGGTTCAACCGCAGCGATTTCGTGGAACGACAAAATGAAAACGGGGACGACAATCCGTCCGTAGTCGCAGCTAGATCACTCGCGAACGGAGGGGAATGACAGCAACTACGTCACTACCGTAGGTGACATAAGATACCACACCCGTGTGACAACATTCTTGTGGTGTTCCGTAAGGGGTGTGATATCTTGTGTGAACCGTGTGATGAAACTGCACTCACAGGACCCCACCGCGCAGGGGGTGTGCCAACAAGGGGTGTGGTTAAGATGGGGTATGATGATGTCACCCATGGGATGAATTGAGCCCACACGGCCCCACCGGCAGGCCTGCAGGGGGTGTGACAATAAAGGGGTGTGATACAGATGGGAGTGTGACAACGCCACTCGTGGAACGAAGTGCGCCCCACGACCCTGCAGGGTAAGTGTGTGATAATCACGGGGGAGTGATAACGTTACACGTATCACGTGCGGGCCTCAGTAGCGCGGGCGGTGCCAGGCACAGCAGGTGTTGTCGCGGACGTGTCAGCAGTAGGTTCTCCAACGCGGTCCTCAGCAACACGGGCGGCGGCAGGCACAGCGAGTGCTGCGGGACTTCCCGGGGCCACCGAAAAATACTCATGACGCAATTGGGCGTGGCGCCGCCGCTGGACTCTGGCTCACCGGAGTCTCAGCCGCGATGCGTTCAGCAGTGTTGAGTGTTTCGTTCATCCCCGCGGTGTAGCCGGTCACCATAGCCCTGGCGCTCTTTGTGTGAACATAATCACGGCTTGCCACAGCCGGTGTGATATGGGACTCCTTGGATATGTATTTGCGGTTCAACTTAGAGGGGGTGGGGTATCTTCTGTGACCGTGTCATGGAAGGATGCTTGCTCCAGGGCAAAAAACAAATATCGTTACAGGCGCGGAACCTTCTGTAAGTGTGGTATCTCGTGCCACCCTACGGTACTCGCGGGTAATTCACTCACAAACCGACGGGTACGACAGCAAGCGCACAACAACTGGCAGAGAGTTCGCTCACGAACGGAGGGAAACGCCAGCAAGTGCGTAACTACGCCGATAATTCACTCACGAATGGAGGGAAACGTCAGCAAGGTACGTAACTACACAGCTAATTCACTCACGAATGGAGGGGGCTTCTCGTTGATCCTTTGAGGGAGGACCTCCAGCACTCCAGCCGGGATGTACCGGCACGTGAACGACAGCCACTCCAGGAGGAATCGCCTCGTCTTGTTCACGCCCATCTGGTCGGACCCCCAGTACTCAAGCCCAAAGTTCACAAACTTCCTGCTTGTTGGTCGCCGTCGCCGTTGGTGTTTCCCATGAAAGGCAGAAACGGAAGCAGCAACACGAAATAACAAAATGATGGAACGCATTTCGGCATTCCAAAACGTGCCCCTTCCGCTTCCACCACTCCATAGACATTGAACTTGCGACGGCAGCAAGCAGTGGTTGAGGAAGAAATAATGGTTCCTGATGGTCCTCTTCGAACGTTCGTCGTTCGCTCTTCAGATCAGGCGTAATCGTTTTCTCAGCACACAGCCTCTCAGAACTAATGTCCGGCCTTGCGCCGCTGCCTGGAACCATCGATGCGTGATAGACGACGAAGGTGGCTGGAGGCTGGCCCGCCATACGCCTTAACGAAAGGTCGGAAAAATTGCAGACACCAGGTGTCGTGGTTATTCTATGTAGAATCGCGTCTTACCCTCCTTATGATCTCACCTCGGAAAAACACAATGTACCGCGAAATTAACGACGCGAATGGGGACGAAATTCGACGAATGCAAGAGGAGATCGCGAAAGCCGCAGCAACAATAAACGACTGCACCCTACACAAGCCGAGGCGCATCTTTCTCGGCAGATGAGCGGTGCTGACATGGCGTGTGCACAGGGTCGTCGACAATCTCGCTTCTCCGCTTCTAGGTTCCGTCCTGTTGTGATGGTCGCTGGAATTCTACGGGAAACGAAAGGTGCGCCAATAGCCTAGTTGCTCGCATCATTCTTTCGCGGCATATCCAAGCCGCATCGGAACCAAACGCTCAAGTACGATGACGTGATCCCAACTTTCTTCACGTCACCTTTCTGTCTCTATTAACACACTAATCTTGGCAGGGCCATGTGATCCGTGTGATCAAGACGTGTCACGTTAATCTTGCTGACCTGTAGATGTCAAGCCTCTCCGAGGAGGAGATGTCCCAGTCCCTCTTCTCCTTCACCTCGGTCGGAAGCCACGGCTTAATCAAGGCACCCCTGCAGCACAACCACAAACGAATAAACCCGAAAACAAAGAAGGAAAAAGGCCAAGAACAGGGGACAGGAATCAGGGGGCAGGGGACGGGGAGGATGGGGCAACGGAACGGACCACATACAAGCATGGCCTGGAGTAATCCTACAAAATAAAGCATCCAAGGTACTTCATAGGTTTCACTGTGTCAGACTAGATCCTACTCCGGTGTGTACAATAGACCATCCTGGGGGTGTCCATGATTCCCAGTGGGAGCCCCCCCCCCATGGGCGGACCAGGGCAAAGGCGAACAAAACGAAGAACATTAACGACAGCAGACAACCAACTCAGCGCACTCGACCGACCTAGCGAGCATGCAGCACGTGCTCCACTGGCTCCCTTCCCCCTCCCCCTGCTGCGACTGCAGCTCCCTGGCCTGCTCCAGCCGTTCCTCGTGGTCCCTCCAAGACAAGATGTCGCCGTTGCCGATCACCGGTAGCGGCCTCAGAGCGGGGTCTTGAGACACAGCCACCTGTGAGGGGTGCGTGGTAGATATTGGGGGGCGGAAACAATGGTCAGAAAAGAGCGGCGGCGGGCCGGGTGGGGTAGGGACTGCAAAGCGTTAGGCCGCAGACCTACCGCAAAATGCATGATTTTTGGAAATGGGTGGCGCGTGTGACATAACACGATTTGTTGCCACAACATTTCTTCAGTCCCATGGTAGTTCCCGGTCGTTGACCGAGGCGTTGGAGTCATAGGTCCAAGAGCGCGGTCGCCTTGACCAAGGGATACATGTAGACCAATGCCAAAACCAAAGGGCATGCGCAGGGGGCAATGCACGCCCTACGCGCCGCCGTAGCCAAATACGAAAACCAAAGGGCACGCGCAGGGGGTAATGGACGCCCCCGAGGCGTCGTGGAAACAAGACCAAACCCATTCAGGGCTACCAATTGACACGCCTCACGTGTTCACTTTCCTCACCATCTTTACCATGGATGTGGCAACGGATCGTTCAAAGGAGAACAGAGGCCGTATGGTACTTTGAGTTTTCGAGTCCGTTTATATAGGGATGTTGCAAAAAACCATTCAAAGGCGAGCGTCAAGGTCATACAGTAGCTGGAACCTGCGGGCGGCGCGCTACAAGGGGGAAAAAAACTAAAAAATCTAACGACGAAGGAGACAAGGTCCGATGGCCGGGAGCTGTGCGGGAGTCAGGGTCCGCGAAGACGTACGCTGAGCAGAACATATATTGTGGCTACGCAAAAATACAAAACTATATACGAACGCGCAAGCGACAACGACACAACAACACTTCCACCGACACGACGACGACAACACCACCACCAACTAAAACAACACCTCGCCACGGCCACCGCCACTGCCACTGCCATTGCCACGGCCACCAACAAGAACACGATGTACCTGACGGACATAGTCCCAGTCAGCCAGCTTGCTATACCGCTGGAGGCGAGAGCGGCCGTGGATCATGACCCGCGCCACCGATCCCGGGAACCCCCTCTTCCGGCACCGGTCCGCCTCCCGCTGTACCGTTCGAACAACCTTGACAAGGGGGGGAGATGCGGGGTTGACATCAGCGTCGGGGCGTTTGCGCGGATGGGAGGTTCAAACCGAAAAAATATTATTTCATACATGGGGGGCACGACACAAAGCAGATCTTGTTTGTTCAGGCGGTTGAACCGGCGTTTGGCTTTACAGTACTCGCAAATCTTCCAACCGATCCTACCCCGCTAGGTGCAAGCCACAAGGGGAAGGCAGCTGAATGGAACGGATAAAGCAGTAGACGTTTCGCGTATAGGTTGTACGTTCGAACACTTGATATTGGTGCTCGAGTTGGAGCGAGGGAATGAAACCAAATACGCCCACTCACAACCTTTCAGGCGCACAGGCCATCGGGACGACCCCCGATTCACTCCCCACCACTGGGGGGTTAGCAACAGACGCCTCCTGCCGACGGGTCCTAACACCACCGTCTGTGGTTGGTGTAGCATGGATTATTTATGTTCGTTTTTTTCACTCACGACGTCCGCGTTGGGCTTCTTTTCGTCCCAGCCGACCCTCATCTTCACCGTCAGGGGGCACGTCAGCTGAGAAGACATGCCCTGCTCGCGCGCCAAGAGGGGGGGGTCGCAAGACACGTGGGCGCGGGAGGCCGGTCGGCTGAGAGATTCCCTTCCAAAGTAGTGGAGGGTTAAGACAACATAGGCCTACTATTATACCTTCCTCTCCACGGCAAGGAACACACTGGCCGCTACCTTCACAGAGTTGGTGGACACATGTAATAGTCACGGGAGCCACACCCTGCTCAACACAGACCAAGCATGACGAGAAAATGAAAAATGTGTGGGAAAGAGACGGGCAAGACAGGCCAAATGGATTACACGTATCCCTTGCTGCATGTATCTCGCGAATAGCGTTTTGGTGCCACCTTTTCGCAGTGCCTTCCGTTGGTACTACCACTTTTTCGCAGCCCACGTGGCCTTTCGCCGGTGCGACTTTTTTCTATTCACGGGGCTCCCGTTGGTGCTATCACCTTTTTCCAGTCCACGGGGCCTCTAATCGATGCAAAATATATTTCAGCCTAGGGGACAACACCACGACGTGCCTCGTCGCCCCCATCACCCTCGTCTCCGCCGAAAACTAGCGCGACAAGTCGAAAATCGGACCCTTCGAGTTTGACTGGAGGGCAAGAAATTGCTAAGGAAACGTTCCGGGACCTGTTCCTGGAACGGTTCAAAGCACAGTCTCACCGCAATGATGCCGCGGAGCTTCCGACTTCGGCCCATGAGAGCCGCGCCCATGCCCTTATCGCAGACCAGGTCTATCGGACAGCCCATGTTGATGTCCACAAAGTCCATCTTACGGACGATTAGATGACAGAAACAAAACACACAAGGATAGCAGCAAACGAACGTCAACAAACGTCATCAGAAACAACGATGATAACAACACGACATGACGTTTACATGTACCGGCAATGATGGACGCCCCGAAGTTTACAGAGGTATGCGTGGGGGGGGGGGGGGGAAGAAAACTTCCCCAAATCCACCCATATGGGGTAAGGGGGGTATCTGGTCTCGCGCCCCCCGGTCACAACAAGGC